GCTTTATTATTTTATACTGTGTGATATAATGCAAGATTAATGCCAAAGCATTTAGTTCCCCAATATTTGTATAAAGAATGAAAAAAATAAGTGAAAAAAAAACCATGTGTAAATTTACATAATTTAAATGTTTAAGTTTGTCTGCAAAGGAATCTATACACAAAATTGCTATGTTGTGATATGTTTATATGCGAACTGTGCATCCTTTGCTTCAAATAAATATTTTCTCTATTACAAAGTGCTTGTTAGTGAGAGGGTTAATGGGTTAAATAATGGTTAATCAAGGGTGTTTTCAGAACAGTCATGCAGAGTTGATGACTCTCAAAATCCATCACAGGTAGCAATCAGAAAACAACCATAAACATTTAGTCTGTAGTAACCCTAATAAAAGTCTGATGAGCAGTATGCCATTGTAAAGTTATAGTACTCCAAAGGGTCCATGCATTGTCCCAATACTTACAATGCCAGGTTAGAACATTTATTGGAAATAGTGTGCATGTAAAGAGCCAATACTACTGGCAAATTACGCATAATCTACTTAGCAGACCACGTGGGCCGAATGGTTCTTATCTGCCGTCACATTCTATATTTATACGTCACTAAAATGGTTATAGAAAGATACAGTTCATTAGCAAATTTATATTGCTGTACAGTCTTGGTTTAAAATATACTTGTCTTGTTAATCTATTTTGATCAGCAGACAATGCATAATTACTTAAAGCTCATAAAATACAAAAATATAAAATAATCAAAATGTCTTTAGGCAACTCAACAAAGGACATGCTGAGTACAGTACATGGTTCTCTGGTGAGATAATGTAATGTGACGAACAGCTGTGCTGGATAGTGTGGTTAAAAGAAAGTTTTTTTTTTTCTTTAGATTTCTTAGTATGATGTAACCAGGTGATGGGCGGGGTGACAGTCTGTCTAAGTATTTCTCTCGTTGACATAAAATCAAGACAAAAGGGTGACCCAAGTAACTGGAGCTTCATGAAAAGTAATAGTTGAAGATTTAAAAAATAAATATGCATACTAATAAGAAAAGAATTAGAGACCTAATCCCTCCAACACAAAGTCATTTTAAGTTAATTCTCTAATAGTGTTGATGCAGTTGTCAACACGTTAAAGACGCTATGATCTTGGGCTGTACAAACTAATGATTTTCTGGGTCATAAAATGCTTCATATTTTAGCCAAGTCAATGAACTGTGCCTTCCAGTTCAAGAATGCGGCTCGCTACTTAAAGACTATCATTCGTTTCATTGTACAAGCTAAATATTAAACTAGTGCTCTTAAAGGGAAATAGCTTTTTGGTGAGATTTTTTTTTGTTTTGTATTTTTATAGATGTATTCTGCAGTACTTTTGCCATGTACAGGGCCCTTCTTACCCCGTCATTATGTCCACCCACTGCATAGCCCCCAATGCAATCTCTTGGTGCCGGATGTCTAGCAGTTAATGCAGTTATCCAGCTAGCAGAATTGCTAGTGAAAGTGACCATCCAATGTATCATTCATACCTTTGGGAACTAACAAAGAACAGGGCACATGTAGCTAGTAATTCACTCACTATGCTCATCTCTCTCACTCATTCGCTCTTGTTTTATCTCCTAACTTTGAACTCCCCTCTGTAGTTTTCAATGTCATATTTGGGTGTTAGTGCTACTGCCTGTTAATAAAATGATATGTGCAGTTTTATTACCCCCCAGACCTTTGTTAGTAATTGCCAACCCTGTGCTAAATAACCACATATTCTATATAATGCAAGAGGCAAACTTTCAAATGTTGTGAAGCAGTTTGGCATTAAGTAAAATATTTATATAGGAATACAGTGTAGATATTGTTAATGGTGTATATGACTATTGTAGTTGCAAATGTCTGATTTTCAATGGAATATCTACATAGGAGTTTAAAGGCCAATTATCAGCAAACATCTGTCCTGTGTTCAAATTTGCAATTATGTTAACAGAGCTTAAAATTGTTGTGCTGATTAAAGAAGCAATATATCTGGCCTTCTTGTGAATAGATGAATGTCTGGATCGTCAACAATTATGGGCTCGATTAAAGGCTCAAGATGGCCAGAAGAACTGAGCTTTCTTCTGAAACTTATTATATTCTTGTTCTGAGAAATGGAGGCTATTCCAAGCACGAAATTGCCAAGAAACAGAAGATCTCGTACATCGCATCTATCAAGTTCAGCGCTTCTCACATCTGTTTTTGCTGTTGATCCAACGGATGGCAAATAATAACCAGATTGAAGCACTTTCCAATTTTGCAACACACTAGGAAAAAAATAATTTGTGACTTTAGAAGAGCAGTTAGATCCCTCTTTGGATCCTGAAGCTATTACCCCACTAATTAAAAATGATATCCCTGCATAGTGTGTTTTTTGCAAGTATTTATCCAATTGCTGTATAATCATCTGCATAGACTCTGATAAAACCACCTCTTCAGGCAGTGAATTCCACATCCCTATTGTTCTTACAGTAAAAACCCTTTCCTTTGCCGTAGACTAAATCTCCTTTCTTTCCGTCTAAATACATGACCTCGTCTGGAGAGTCCAAAAGGGTAATATGTAACACTCAAAGAGGCAGACTACCACAGAGATAGCATATATACCTATTTAAAATGTTTCATGTAGGAACCTCATTGATATTAAAATTGGATTTCTTTTTAAAGGCTTGTCTTGACAATGTGAATTGACTGGGAAGGTGGATAAGTTTAAATTTGAACGCAAGTTATGTTTAACAGAATTCTTTAGGAATAAACCTGACACAACACATAAACCACTCCTCTCCTACATTAAAACTCTGCAGAACATTTGATTCACTAGCTACTAATGCTTCTCTCAAAGTTTTTGTACAAAACATAAAAATGGAATCTTGGAACAAAATATGGAACATTTGCAACATCTCTCGAGCTAAGAGAACAGCATTAAATGATCTAGCTTCCAATTTATCTATCAATGTACCCAGCAGAAAAAGGTGGGTTAATAGTTCTCATGAATCATGAGGACTATAGATTTGAGATCCTTAAACAACTATGAGACCCCAATACTTTCACTTATGGGGAGACAGATCCAGCATGGGAATTTGGTCCTCCTATACATGAAGCACTAAATCATGAACTTGAAGCTAACTACATAGCATAAAGTGTATTTGATAATCTTCTAGAAACACATCAGAAGTGCCAAATCCTGTACACATTGCCCAATATTAATAAAAACCTGATACAGTCATTGGGACCTCCGATAGTATTGGGAATTGGAGGATTATTTGAGCATATTGGCATTTGGCTCGATGTTGTATTTAAAGATCTGGTTATGTCTTTACCCACATGAGTCAAGGATACATGCTATTATTGATAAAATCAAGGACATTGAGATCCCATCGACTGGAATCCTGCTAGCCACAATAGTCATGAGCAGCTTACACGATAATCTCACACCAAGCTGGTATCCAAGCAATGCTGGATGTCTTACATAACTGCCACATATGGGTAAGCTATCCTACTGAATTCATACATGAAATGTTACAGTTATGTCTTACTCTTAACTTTTCCATATTTGAAAATTAATTTTATGTGCAAAGGACTGGCACTTTTGCCCCAGGGCAAGTAAAGACCGAAAGACTATGAGTGCTGGGCCCCAATATATATATATATATATATATATATATATATACATACAGTATCTCACAAAAGTGAGTATACCCCTCACATTTTTGTAAATATTTTATTATATCTTTTCATGTGACAACACTGAAGAAATGACACTCTGCTACAATGTAAAGTAGTAAGTGTACATCATGTATAACAGTGTAGTGTAAATTTGCTGTCCCCTCAAAATAACTCAACACACCGTTGGCAACAAAAGTGAGTACACCCCTAAGTGGAAATGTCCAAATTGGGCCCAATTAGCCATTTTCCCTCCCCGGTGTCATGTGACTAGTTAGTGTTATAAGGTCTCAGGTGTGAATGTGGAGCAGGTGTGTTAAATTTGGTGTTATCACTCTCACACTCTCTCATACTGGTCACTGGAAGTTCAACATGGCACCTCATGGCAAAGAAATCTCTGAGGATCTGAAAAAAAAATTGTTGCTCTATATAAAGATGGCATATTCTATAAGAAGATTGCCAAGACCCTGAAACTGAGCTGCAGCACAGTGGGCAAGACCATACAGCGGTTTCACAGGACAGGTTCCACTCAGAACAGGCCTTGCCATGGTCGACCAAAGAAGTTGAGTGCACGTGCTCAGCGTCATATCCAGAGGTTGAATTTGGGAAATAGAAGTATGAGTGCTGCCAGCAATGCTGCAGAGATTGAAGGGGTGGGGGGTCAGCCTGTCAGTGCTCAGACCATACGCTGCACACTGCATCAAATTGGTCTGCATGGCTGTCATCCCAGAAGGAAGCCTCTTCTAAAGATGGTGCACAAGAAAGCCCGCAAACAGTTTGCTGAAGACAAGCAGATTAAGGACAGGGATTACTGGAACCATGTCCTGTGGTCCAATAAGACCAAGATAAACGTATTTGGTTCAGATGGTGTCAAGTGTGTGTGGCAGCAACTAGGTGAGTAGTGCAAAGACAAGTGTGTCTTGCATACAGTCAAGCATGGTGGTGGGAGTGTCATGGTCTGGGCCTGCATGAGTGCTGCCAGCACTGGGGAGCAACAGTTCATTGAAGGAACCGTGAATGCCAACGTGTACTGTGACATAATAAAGCAGTGCAGATTCCCTCCCTTCCGAAACTGCAGGGCATTATTCCAACATGATAACTACCCAAAACACACCTCCAAGACGACCACTGCTTTGCTAAAGAAGCTGAAGGTAAAGGTGATGAACTGGCCAAGCATGTCTCCAGACCTAAACCCCATTGAGCTTCTGTGGGGCATCCTCAAACGGAAGGTGGGGGAGCGCAAGGTCTCTAACATCCACCAGCTCCGTGATGTCGTCATGGAAGAGGACTCCAGTGGCAACCTATGAAGCTCTGGTGAACTCCATGCCCATGAGGGTTAAGGCAGTGCTGGAACATAATGGTGGCCACACAAAATATTGACACTTTGAGCCCAATTTGGACATTTCCACTTAGCGGTGTACTCACTTTTGTTGCCAACGGTTTAGACATTAATGGCTGTGTGTTGAGTTATTTTGAGGGGACAGTAAATTTACACTTATACAGGCTGTACACTTACTACTTTACATTGTAGCAGAGTGTCATTTCTTCAGTGTTGTCACATGAAAACATATAATAAAATATTTACAAAAATGTGAGGGGTGTACTCACTATTATTATATCTCTAGAATCCCTTAGTAACATTCTATAGATATATATATAAAAACATTCTACACTTGAGCTGTCCTGACACAAGTGACTGTACTTACTGCTAGAATATAACTACACATTGATTGCTTTAGGAAATTGTGCCATTCTCACTATTTTTTTTAAATGAGTTTGTGCTTCGATGTTTATTCTATCCAAGTCTGACTGCCAACATTTGGGAAACTGTTACGCATTAATGTCACTTTATAGAATAATTTTAGGTTACTATTCATTGTACATCATAACGTGCATGAAATTTTTAAAATAAAATGTCTTAAAAAAATAAATAAATAAAATAAATAACAGATGTGATAGCAGCAGCCAACCAGAATCTGCGATTTTCTGAGCAGAGCTGATTATCCCCATGGATTTAACAATACAGATAAAATGAATTCTTATCTGATCGGTCCTTTTAGAATACCAAAGGTGCCCATCTAATTGGGTATCATAGGGCAGCAATAACAGAACATAATAAACAAGAGATGTATTTGGTTCATTTCTTGTTTTTTGTTTTGATTTTCTAAAGTCGTCAAATTAAAGTGCTTGATTCCAGGAACCTGATCTTATCCTTGCCAACCAGAAGATTATAACTGTACACGTAAAAATTTAATTAATCTTAACTTGTGTTTTCTTTCCTTATGTAAGAAGTCAAATCTGTTTTCTTCTAAATGTTAACAAGTACCCTGATGGATTTAGCACATAATGCTCCTCTCCATGCACTAGAGTTATGACCTGGTAATCCTCTTAGCTCTATGACCCTGAGAACCGATACTTTAGTTCACGCCATGAGGTTACCAGTTTCCCTGAGCACCTCCTTTCAATGAAAAATACATGTAATAGGGAATAAATAGAAGGCTTACCTATGCGATACAGTATTTTTGTATAGGATACATGAAGGGTTACTCAAAACAAAAAAGCATTATTTTGATAAGAGCTACTTTTCCAATCTCAGAAACCCCTGTAAATTAAATAAATAAATTATCCTAAAATGTATCTCCATACCAGCACCAAGACCAAGGGAGACGAGGGATGTCCAATATGCACAGGACTGCTTCTAGATTGCCATGGGAGTAGGGCCCTCAACACTTTCTGTAATTTTACAAACAATGGTGTATTGTACCTTTGTCTTTTTACTTGTACCAACTGCACCTAAATACAGAACTGCGGATTGTGTTGGCGCTTTCTAAATAAACAACAATAATAATAACTGACCTTGGCCAGCGTAAAACTCTAATGATTTTGCAAGAGATTGATTTATACCTCTGGCAGCATAGAGGTAAAACTCTGTATGTGAAACGCTGCACATACATAATCAAAGCACCCTGACCACTTAAAATCACTGAAGTGATCATGGTGCTTGGAGTATTCCTTGTCTATGCGACCAAAGCTGAATACTTCTGAGCTAAAAGACATATGAGTGAGATACCTGCTAGAATATATTAATGCTACATTTACTTTTATTACTGTTGTGCACCATGTATCTTTCTATCTCCATCTCTTTGGGGTGTTGGTATGAGATCTACAAACAAGATACCTATTTGTTCTGGTACAAGCGTTGTGTTGGAAAGCAATGAAAAAGTGGGATTGTAATTGTGTTAGCATTATAACGGCTCATCATCAGCCATTAATGTATCCATAAATATTAAATATAATATTGTAATTTCCCTATATGTGAGCAGATTTATTTTCTAAAACTTAAAATAAAACGCATGAGGTTTGATCGATCAGTACCCAGGATGACCACTGTGTGAAAGAAAGATAAGCTAGAAGCAGTTCTGCATTTGTTGAGAAAATTATTCTTTAACATTTCACAGGATGGGTGATAATGGAATTTCTCAATCTGCGCACGAGGCAATAAAAAAGGCATGTGACAAGTACTTTGAATAACTTGATGTAAAATGAATGCCGCAATAATAATGCAATACTTTCACTATTTTTCCCATGGCAGTACAGGGACCTCTATGGATTTCTCCAATCAGAAATCCTTACTTTGTCCTTATACAGGCCCCCATCTGTCAAAAAGACATTGGCTCCTCGGAATCATCTGGTATGAAGCATGAACACAGATCCACAATATTCAGTAATATTCAGTAATCCTATGTGCTAGAAACAGTCTGTGCATTGTACAAAAGCTGCATCTATAAAGATGAAATTTATTTTATTAGTGTTTTCCTTGAAATCGCAAATAAGAAAAACAACAATTGTGTTATTCATAAAACTAAAATTTTTAAATAGAAACCCCAGTAAATAAAATGTTAAAGGTCACCCTTAACAGGCTATTAACCTTTTTTCATGTGAGGCTCCATTTCTTTAAATTTGATTTGAAGATTTAATGAAATTACATCACAATCCACTATAGACATGACAGACTCGGCACACGTTGCAGAGGAAGATGAGAAACAGAAACATTGTTTCATTTTCCTCTTCTTCATATGCTTTATATATGCTCACTGTCTGATGAAAAGGACAGAGCTTATAACAATGATTGATAGGGAGCTAAGATGGAGGCACCCAGTTACATTTTTACGTTTAATTTTAGTTTTGTTTCCCCATTCCGTACGAATATACAGTTGTTAAATACAGAGATAATTGAACAATGTTAAAAACCCTGTGAAATTACAGTTATAGGGTCACTCTGAACCCCAGAAGCTCTGAAGCTTAAAACGGCACTGTCAACGTCTGGGAACTTTGCATGAGTTGCCAAAAACTTTGACGGTGACATCACTGCTAGGTGGCCTGGGAGAGGGAGACAAAGGTAAGTCCTACTTACCATAACCTGTTCCTCTTGGGTGTCTCCATCCGCTTCCAGCTGGTCATCTTCTGCTCCTGGCACTTCAGCTGCCAGGAGCCAGTGTCACTGGTATACTCTCGCGCATGTACAAGATTACAGAATCGGAATCTATGGAGGATCCTCAGAGACCGCAAGATCCTGTATAGACAGAGCCATCTAACCTGTAGCCGTCACTGGTGTCAAGAAATATCAGGCAGAGCAAAAATACTGAGACAAAATAATGCCTACTTTGTCTCATTAGGTCTTTTAAAAGGGTTGGATTTTAAGTGATATTCTAAAAGAGTCAAAATGAGAATTTCACAAAGTTTATATCTTTATGAATATTATATTTTCAGAGGGAGTAACCGTTTCACTTTAATGTAGTGGTTTTGATGCAGTCTCTCATTTTAAGTAGTAGCTCTTTTGTGAAAATGCCGTGTTTACATTTTCCCCTAGTAATACCTGTACTGGCTGTAACAGAGACAGCCAGTAAAGGTCCTTCCAATATTTTATGTATATACCAATATTTGCCGGACTTACATTTGGTGTATTCATTGTCAGAAAGACACATATGGTCTCCTTGGAGATGTATTATTACTATATATCATCAGTAATTACCACCTAAGCCAGGAGTGGAGTAGTGGCTGGGGTGAGACTGGCTTGGTGAGGTTTAAATGAGGAGTAAAACTAATTTATTTTAGTATTAAAAAGGGCTAAATCTAAATATGCCGAAGAAAATCCCAACGTTAGAAAAACATGTTTGTCATTTTATAGAGTTTTAGAGTTTATTTAGAGTTTTTCTTTCACACCAAAATGTAATATATGTATTTTCCCCCAATATGTTATTAAATACTTGTGATTTTTCTGAGAGTTCTGGCAGTTTCCCCAATGTGCACATTAATAAATATAATAAACATTATTTTTAAATCTGTGCTACAATTTGCCGGATAACAGATTCAGATATTCAATTTCCTATTTTCTCAGTGTTTACTGACATAGACCCAATTTATTATTTTTTGGTAAGCTTTTGAAATGATTTAATATTTTTGGACAACATTTTCAAATCAAATTTTTTTAATTTAAAAAATATATCATATATAAAATATCAGTATATAAAAAGATATCAAAATATTACAAAATTAAAATGTTTTCATAATATTAAATCTTTTTAAAAGTTTATTAAAAAAATATTAAATCATTTGGAAAGCTTATCCAAAATGATTCCACCGAGGCCGTAGTGATAGTTCTGAGCCTACTTTAGCTAATATATAATTTTGGTAAATGTTCCATTCTGCTCCATTTTTACAGCCATAGGCCATGGTACCAATATATCTGGTAGCCAATAATGTTTTACTAGACCTTTTTAATGCATCAAAGTTTAACTACAAAACTTTGAAAACAGAATTCTCTTTCATTGTGTGCATTTTCACACTGTGTATTCATTAATGAGTATTTTTGTTATTGCTGGAGTTACCTTATGGACGAATGTACAGTACATTATGTAAGGGTAACAAAGCACAAACATAGATATGGCAAAGAACCGCTTTGGGACTGAGGAAACAGAGGAAATAATGAACAGCATAGAAAGAAAACAGTTTTCAGTGACAGTAGATTTTGTTGTAAACAAAAGGCCTTAAACACAAATTTGGAAAGCCATGTGGCTTTATGTATACACCAGTGCAGTGGAGGTATGTGCTTCCCACAGCTCTCAAGGCTTTGACATTCCATAAAAGCATCATGGGAGTTTTATTTTTAAAACAGCGGAGGATCTACCTTTTGGCAAACCCGTCTTAAACCATCCTTAGTCATACACCTACCATATGAGAGGCAGTTGTCATTAATTAAAGATTTGAAGACCAAAGATTCAACGGAGTCCCTTCTCTCATAAAAGGATGGATTTAATTATATACAAAGAAACACAAAACGTGTTCATGTGATTTCTTTATGTAAAATATATACATTAATGTGATGTAACTGTAATATATCTACAGATATATCCTTTCTTTTTAATAATGTTTCCCCAAAGATGATTAGTAGGTAGAACTCCATCTTGTTTGCGTTGGAGTATGATATTTATAAAGTGGTGGAATGTTGAATTACTATGACATATGCTGTGGATCCTAAATTGAAGAGATGGGTCC